GTCTGAGGATGATAAGCCGTACTAAAGGTCAACTTAGTGCCTAAGGCACTCTGCAAACTCTGCCACAACCTGGCGCTAACTCTATACAAAGAAAGCCCTTGGCTTGATATACATGTAATACAACAAAACTCAGGCGGATAGTAGGCATTACATGCGCTGTTAAGGCAAATGCACCTGATCTCGGAGTAATGCAAACTCACGTGCTAACTATGCAAGTGTTCTGATGATCCCAAAACCACATGTACACTGATGAATACATTTTCCAAAGTACAACACAAATCACGTGATGCTTGTTCTGGGTAATGCAATTTCATATTAAACGTACCACCAATGGCTAACAAGTCCGCAATGATGCCTATCGCAGACACATTGCATTTTTATTATTTGTTACTTTACCTAAATTTATATGCAAGAAAACCGTTGAAACACATTTCCAAGTAGCACGTCCGTTGAACCAATTTTTCAAGACAATATGTGACCACATATTACAAAAGTAACACAACACTTTCTGGTAACGTACTTCATGTACTAAGGGGTATTTTGGGAAGTGGGTTAAAAGCCACTTCCCAGCTTTTAACTCACTTCCCTCTCTCACAAAAAAGCCAAAGAAAGTCAAAAATCAGCTTTTAACCATCTTTCCAAAACACCCCTAAGACTATAACACCTATGAACAAATATTCACATATGTCCCAGTATGATGCACACGTCGTACAATAATCGTTACACATGGCAGTGTAACACAACACTTCTGACAACGTAACTCATGTATTACAATTACGGGAACTTTATCAAATTGATGTATTATTGTGACAACCCTCACCTCTGATTAGTGCTAATCTCTGATTGAGCATGATAAGCAATTGAACAGACTAAAATTCTGAACTAAATGCATGAGTATGTTGTTTAATTGCATTTCTATCTGTTAGTCATTAAATGATCTGTTTATGTTTTATCTTTGAACTGCGAATTGAAGGTCTTATTGGCGACCGAATCAGAAATTGATTAGTATTATGTGCTAATTAGAATTTACATGATTTTATGGTGGCTTTAATTAAAATTTGATTTGGAATGATTAAATTAGATCAAAAAATGTCAAACTCATTGAACCTAAGTAATTACATTTGTGCCATTGAAGTGGGCCACTTTGTTAAACCTTGTTTGGAGCTTATTTCTACCTCATTTGTTCATCTTCTTGAGACAAACCGTGAGAGAGAGAGGGAGATAGGAGGAACTTGACTTCATTTGAGATTTGGCTTGGAGAATTAGAAGACTTGAAGTGAGATTGCAAAATTAGACTTTCATACTTGAAATTCAAGACATAAGGTAGAGAATTCATCCTTTTATTTATGAAATTAAGTTGTATCTTGCAAGGTTCATAGAAATATTGGAGATTAGAGTTAAGTTTTAGCTCAAAGTGTTGAATTATGAGGCATCGTGTGCATGCATGTCCATATCATAGTGTTTTGAAGTCATTTTCATGAAATTCCCACATGCATGTTTCTATTTTGGTTTTGATCCATGAATTGATCATATTCTTGAGCTCAATCTTGCATTTTATCATGTCTTAGAGCATTAGAGCTCATGGGAACTTATGCATGTATGATTTTGAATTGTTCTTCATATTTACATTTGAATTTGTGTTCAAATTGACTCACCCTTGGGCTTTAATTTTACAAATTGATCTTCAAAGATATGTTATACTATGAGTTTTCAAGTGTTTTCCAGAAAATTGGCCCAAAAGGTTGAGTTTTGAAGTGTTAAATGCTTGGTTTGAGCATGGGAGGCAAATCTAGAAATTCCAAATTTTGGCTTCCACGCTCGAGCGAAGGATTCCACGCTTGAGCAACCCTTTTTTGTTCAGAGCTCCGGTCGAGCGAAGGAATGCTGGCTCGAGCATAGATTGCAAGCTCTTAGATTTTTGGTGCACGTAGATGCACGCTCGAGCGACGAGACCTACGCTCGAGCGAAGAATGTGTCTCATGCTCGAGCGAGCATCAAGCGGAGATTTTCAACATCCAGCACTTTTTACATTTTTACAGACTGCTTGAGCGAGGAAGTCCACGCTCGAGTGACCCCTCTGTTTTGGAAATCTCGCTCGAGCGTAGAAAGCCACGCTCGAGCGAGACCCTTGTTTTTTGAAAAATTCTGAAAGTGTTTTAAAGTGCATTTTTGCATCCTCATTCCATCCTAGGCATTCCTAAGCCTAGTTTAAGGCATCTTAATAAGGATATTGTTATAAAACTACACCGGTATAATTAGGAGCTAAGTTATTAATCCCGAATGTGTGTTCGTTCTGCAATTGTAGGGTTGGCATCCGAGGACGCTCGTTAGCTGTCTATAACCCAGTGTTCTGTGAGTAACAATGTTGTAAAGATATGTTCAATTATGATTATTTTCTGAATGATCAACTATTCTGCTTATTGAAACATTATTGTTTAATGAATGAATGTTTGTCCGATTTGTAAACTGTATCTGTGGCATCCATAGCAATTTACTGTTACTGTTACTGTCACAGAGATCTCTGTCAGTTCCCATGTTTGGAACCACTACTATTACTGTTATGATGGCCATCAACTGATTGTTCAGTCTGTTAAGACCTACTGTACTGTTTTGCTATGGGATGCACCACATATGACTGCTATGGTTTCTAAGTGACTGATATGACTATTTAATCACTGAAAGGACATTCATTCTTAACCTCTTTACATAATTGTTATTCACTGGGTTTTAGCTCACTGTTTATATATATATATGTAGGTGTCCAGATACCGGACCGGAGCTAGGAGCGTCGGGTTAGCTCTTGTTTTGTCAAGCCAACCTTTGTGCCTCGCCTCGAGGTTCCAAGTCCGTTCAAGCCACGACTGTTTTGGGGTGTTCAAATTCACCATTTTGTTTCCGTTTTGTAATAGACGATAAGACTTGACTATATAGTTATAGTTAGAGATTTGGTCCCTGACATGGATGTTTGTGTATATGTCGCATGTACATATGTTTTGGTTATTAATGTGGCATGTTTACAAAAAGTCTTTTTGCATTCAGACTGCCACAGCTCATTGGACATCTTTTATTTACTGTTTTGGCTTCCGCCAGCCCCTTTACTCTGTATTTCTGTCATTATATTAAACAAGCCTTTGGTAATCACGGATTACTGGCTGGTTGCGATGCTAAACCCATAGAGGCGGGTTTGGGTCGTGACAATTATAATGACATAAGAGTTTCTGATTTAGACCACGGTGGACAACCAAGCCCAAACTAGGCATGTGTCCCGACGTACATTTTTATGAATACAACAGGACATTAGTCCATTCAATCTCAATAAACATGACCACCTACCAACCAACCAACCCACAATACCATAATAGACAGTAAAAAATAGAGGATTTCCTAACCCAAAACAGACTGTGTGTCCCAATATACATTCGGAAACATTAAGTAAGACTGTATTCCATTCAAACTCAATAACTATGCATAATTAACATATAGTCACATAAACAGCGGCAGTCTACGATTACAAAATACTAATTTCTGGTAGATGGCCAAATGTAATGTTGACATATATATCAATTTTCCCAAATCCTACAATGTAAACGTATATCACACAAAAAACCCTCAAAATGCCCAATCCCAAAATCGAACCCCAAAAACAAAGAACCAAAACCACAAACATTGGTCTACCACATAGACGATTAATGTGTACAACATTACGTACCCTTGCGTTTCATTGTCATCGTATGGAACTCTGGGAGTTTTGGGATAGTCGTACACCAATGGAGACACTGGTGATGACTCTCAAAATTGTCTAAACGAGCGACTACGAAGTGACGTCCTCCCCGGCGCAAATTACACTGTTGACGACGAGTTGGGAAATAAGCGGGGTGTTGTCTTGGTGTGGATTGATCAAATTAGGGTTCGAAGCTGAAACCTAGATGTGGAATTTGCTAAGAACCCTATTTGGTAGTTTCTCAAGCACATTTATGGTTTCATTACACTAACATGGTAATGTTATTAATGTAAGAACATTGATTGCCAACAATGCCTTACACATACTAGAAGATTCTATGGAGAACGATGGAAACTAAAAAAATCCTATAATACGCTTGAAGCCTACAAATGTAATTTGACATTACCCAAAACCCACATCTGCCCCTTCTGTGAACATTAAATATATGCGCATGGATGAGGGCAAAAATGCCATAATCTTTGACTGAGGACTTTTTGGTTCAAAAGAAAACATGTGGGATTAATTGGTGCACAAATTCACAACTTGAGATATATTGGTGCATCACCCTTAATCAAATTCTCTTTCTAAAGAGCCAAACAAACATGGCCCTAATGGTGTGAAATTACAAAAAACAAAAGATGAGAGAGAGGGAGAAAAGAATATAGGACTGTTTCACATTTGTCTTATCCACATCATTAAGAGTGAAATTTGGAGGTCTCAATTAGGAAATGTAGCATATCTCTATACATAAATATATAGCTAACTTGATTTAATGATCTAACTTATTTTAATATAATGTAATGACTAATAATTTATATATGTATTTAATATTTTTATATATACAATTTGAATTTCGTATTGCTGGAGATTTATATATATTCTCATCTTAAAATAAATAAATAAATAAAATCAGAAAAAATAAAGTGAATAGATATTTAATATTCATGGACTGGGTCAAGGCCCAAGCGCGTAGAATTTGGGCCTCTGTGGTCCAGACGTATACACAACGTGGTACAACTCATCAATGGGCCCACACGCATATCAATCTTCTTCTTCTTCTTCTTCTTTTTCTTCTTCTTCATATCATATGAATCAGAGTCAATTTCCATTTTCATGATCGCTTCAAGTCTTCGATCTTCAATGGAGATTCACAGGACTCTTGGTTTCTCTCTCTTCATTTCTCTCTCTCTCTTCCACCTCTCAATCGCCTCATCTTTCTCTCCCATCGATCACTACCTCATCGACTGTGGGTCTTCCAAACCCACCACCGTCAACATCGATAACCGACGATTCACCGGCGATTCGTCCGAGTTAGGATCACAATTTTTGTCTTCAACTCGAACGATCTCACTGACAGACTCGAACCCATCACCCAGTTCTTCCCCAATCTACCACACGGCTAGGGTTTTCACAAGACCTTCGAAATATTTGTTCAAGATCAGAGACAAAGGGACCCACTTGGTACGTCTTCATTTCCACCGAATCGATTCTTCTAATTTCGATCTCTGCGATTCTCAATTTCATGTTTCGGCAAATGGGTATGTATTGTTGAACAATTTTACTGTTATGAACATACAAAAACCTAGAATTAAGGATTTTATGATTTGGGTCGATTCTGAAGAACTTATCGTTACATTCACTCCATCGAAAGAGTCGAAATTTGCATTTGTAAACGCGATTGAAGTGATTTCTGCTCCGAAAGATTTGATTGCTGATGTAGCTATGTTAGTGAATTCTCAGAAAACTGTGACAATCAATGGGTTGATGAAGAATTCGCTTGAAACTGTTTATAGGGTTACTGTAGGAGGGCCAAAAGTGACACCTTTCAATGATTCTTTGTGGAGGACTTGGGTCCCTGATGAGGAGTTCTTGAAATCGAGTGATGGGTCAAAGAGCATTTACTTTAGTGGTCGAATTAGGTATCAAATGGGAGGGGCAAGCCGAGAAGTTGGTCCGGATAATGTGTACAATTCTGCTAGAGTGATTAGTAGTTCGAATGATGTGATTCCCCATTTGAATATTTCATGGGAATTTCCTGTGGTTGGTGGCTATAAGTACCTAGTTCGGATGCATTTCTGTGATATTGCTAGCGTTTCGCTCGGTTTGCTTAAATTTAATGTGTATGTAAATGGGAATTCAGCATATGAAAATTTGGACCTTTCAGCCATAACAAATTGGGCGTTGGCTTCTCCTTTCTACGCTGATTTCGTAGTTGATATGGAGAGCTCGGGGGTTTTGACTGTAAGTGTAGGACCTTCGAAGATGAGCATGCCACACACCATTGATGCTATTCTCAATGGTGTTGAGATCATGAAAATGAATAACTCAATGGGTAGTCTTGATGGATTGGTCTGCGTGGAGTCAATTTTGAAGAGTTGGCCGAGAAGAAATGCTGGTGCTGTGGTTCCTTTGATTGCAGCCGTGTGTTTATTGGTAATTGCATCATTCGTCATGCATAGGAGATGGGTTGGTGTCAGGGATTCGGTGGCATGGTCACCATTACCTATGCATGTCTCTGAAATTAGTTTGAAGAGTGGGATTCAACGGTCATTAGCTAAAGTGTGAATATCTAAACAAATGATGCGTTCTTGAAAGATATAACATGGGCACGTTGTACGAAGGATGCTATATATAACTTTTGTACTTCCAGTGACTGAAGATTTTGGTGATGATGATTTGAAGCCTCTGAAGATGTTTGGACACCCTGTTGCTTTTTCATATTGTAAGTAGTTTGTACTAATAGCTTTCAGTTTGATCTGCAAATACTGTTTTGCATTTCTTATTGTTGTTATGGTTGTTATCTACTTTTATTTGTTTCTGAATATTTATAGTTAGGTTCATATCATTACTGTTGTTTGCCTTGTTTTTATCTGTTTCTGTTTGGTGCATTATAGCAAGTGTAAGTATTCCTTGGCTGAATTCGTATTATTATTTTAAGTAATGCAAATGTTGGGTATCCAAAGCTTCTTCCTAATTGTTTATTTACAAATTAGATGTGGTTAAATGTTTATTTTGTTAAAAACATTGTACTAAAGTTGGATTTTTTAAGGTCAAAATGAGCAACTTGGTATGGATGAAGTGAAAGTGTGGCACTCATCAATGTTCATCGACTAGGGGTTGGGCTTCTCTCAAGTTTACATTGTGAACTTGAGGGACCGTATCATAACAATATTTTGACATTATGATTTTTCGTATCATAACAATATATTGACATTATGATTTTCCGTATAAATTAAATAGTTCAAATATTTGATATGTTTTTTGGAGGAAGAATGTAATGCTAAAGGTTGTATAGGGCAACACAATACTTTTTACCTGTTTGGTTTTATTTTTGTTTTTTGTTTTATGTTTTATGTTTTGAACACTCGTTTGGCAAACTGTTTTTGTAACTGTTTTAGTTTTTTGAAAACCCACTTACAAAAATGAGGTTGATATGAAAATGATGGATATTTTCAAATTTTCATTGTTTTTGTTTGTGAAAGCATGAAAAAGGGAAAACACAACCAAATAGTAGCTTCTGTGTGCAAGATTTGCATGGTTTGAGAAGAAATGGTTTATATTTTGCTTGTATGAACATAAACTTCATCTTCATGGATTTCTGAAAGTGAAAACTGAGATAAGTTTTTCATGTAAAATTGTTAATGTTGGTCAAAAATTTATATGAATTATAAGTTCATTATTTAATTATGTGAACTTGGTAGAAAATTGTTGAAGAATGCTTGGTAACACTAATTTGGCACCACCAACATGGAATGGACCATCTCTCAATTCTCTCTCTTCCACCTCATTAGGGGTAGATTATGGAGGGTGCTATATTAGTGGGATGTAGCGGGATTGTGCTCATTATTGCCTTTGTATTCCTATTTGTCTTGAGATTTACCAAATTTCTGGATATGAATTCTTTGCCATTGTTTCTTTGCAATGATGTTGTTGTGCTTTTTTGTCTCAGTAATACACGTTAACAAAATACATAATTCAACCGTTTGGGTTCAAATTTGAAGTAAAAAGACATAAATTTGCTTTTTCTTTTTTTAGATTGATATAAATTTGCTTAAACTTGAAATCTAAATCATTGAATTATCACAGTAAAATCGTTGCAAAGAGATCAATGACAAAATATCTTCCGATTGAATTATTGGAAAACTTTAAAAATTGAAAATATTGGAAAACTTTAAAAATTTTCATACATAGAATATTAATTTTCTTCATAAATATATAATTATTTTGTAGAAATTTCACATAATTGTAATTTCTTCTTATAATACTATTCTGTCCGATTGAATTCTCCAATTGGACCGAGTCATCAAGCATGTGGCATCGAATTCTCCATTCGGACCGAGTCATCACGCATGTGGTACCGAGCACAAGATTTCTTATTCTCAAATCTTTCCATCCCTTCTCCCTGTACCTTTGTTCCAATGCATTTCTTGTTCTCAAATCTTTTCATCCTTTCTTTTTATCCCAAATACATTCTAAAACATTAGATCATGTCCCGAGATTTTGATTAAATTGTTAACCACCATCTCTTCTACAAAATCAAATTATTCGATAGAGAGGCAACTTAAAAAATAAGTGTAATTATTTACAATTTTAATTATTAAGTAGACAGTGAAATTTGAATACAATATCTCTTATCCGTATCTAAAAACTTAAACTATTACATGCATGAACAATTTTATTATTTATACTATATCTTCAACATGAATCAATGGTGTGCTTGGCACGCGGAACATAGAGGTTCAAAAACAAAAACATGAACCGCGGGGTGGAACTCGTAAGCTAGAAATTCAGAGAGAAGATCATTGGTTGTAGGGGTGATTATAGTTCGGATTGGATTGGATTGGGGTAAAACCAGAACCAATCCGTTATCTACGGTTCCTGAAAAATTGGAACCAATTCAATCCAGTACGTTTAAATCATAAAACCAATCCGAACCAATCCATTTAAATACAGATTGGATCGGTTTAGGACCACGGATTCACATAATTAAATAATAAATATATATATATATATATATAACACATTAATTTCATAAAAATATAAACATAGTGCTATATTAGTTTCACAATAGCAACATATTTTTTTATAATAGCGACATACTGTTCTAGAATTTAAATAACCATAAGAAAACTGGTTTCACCATAAGTATTTAGACCATTACAAATTAAAACTAAAAACTAACAAACAAAAGTAACAAAAGAAGATATTATACGGTTTTGGGTTTGAGTTTAGATTTTATATGAATAAGAGAAGATACTATGTGGAGGATGTATAATAAAAATATAAACTATTTGTATACGGTCCGGATCAGTTCCAATCTGGAACCATGGGGTTCAATCCGGAATCAATCCGTGAACTACGGATTTTTAATTCTTCAATCTGGAACCGAACCATGGATTCACAAAAACCAATCCAAACCTATCGGATTGGACTGGACAGGACTGGATCAGATTACGGATTTCATGTATTCCTTGCTCAACTCTTATTGGTTGTTGTATCCACATTATCGTTTAAAAGGGGGGAGGGAAATAAGGGCAATGATAGAGACCACTAAAAGTGGTGCTCTAAAGCAACCACTAATGATGTGGCATCCACTTTTTTTAAAAAAAAAAAAAAAAAAACTGACACAATAATACTGTGGTAGTGGGTGGGACCCACCACCACATCATTAGTGGTGACACTATTAGTGCTCTCACTCATTTTTCTTTTGTCAATCTTGCGCATTCCTTCTAAGAATACCGACGTGGGAAAAAGTTATCTTACAACAAAATCAAATTAATCTAATAATTTTTTTTATTTTATATTTTATTATAGTTGTCTCTAAAAAATAGATTGTTTATTTTAAAAAATATAATCCTTGCCTTTTTTTTTAAGACAAATATAATAAAATAAAAATATTACGATTATTGAATCGATTTAATAAAAATGAATGGTCTATATCAATTGTGAAAAATCTTAAAATCTCTGAAATATTGATTTGTGATTATGTACCAATTTTAAATAGTAAATAATAATTCCAATCAAATAATCAAAGACAAATTGACACAACAATTTAATGTGGAAAAACCACAATTGGAGTGCCTCCAATTGTGATAAAAAATCACAGACAAAAGCTGCAACATAATTCCACAAGAAGACTATTACCCAAAAAGCAACTTAAGAGGGGGGTGAATTAGGTTTCTAAAAATTAAAATTAATAATAATACAATAAAATTAACTACTAGTACAACAAATTATTAACAGGCACAATGATGAACTTAGCAGTAAATGATCAAGCAAAATAACAATTAAGTATAGCTAACATACAGGGTAAATCAAATGATTAACATATGAATATCAGATAGCTATAGCAGTAATAAGAAAGTAAATAGATCAAGGAAGAGAAAACAAATAGATTTATAGTGGTTCGGCTTCAACCAAGCCTACATCCACTCCTCGAGCTTCACTTGAGATTTTTCACTAACTTCTAGCTTCACAGGGGTGCTAGTAACCTCATAAACATGGAGCAATCCTCCACATATTTTCTAGCTTCACAGTGGTGCTAGTTACCTTATACAGATGGAGCAATCCTCCACAGATTTTTCATAGCTTTACAGGCTTGCTAGTGACCTTTTACAAGATTGAAAAATAGTGTTTTTGCTTTCAAAGAAAGCTACAAAAATATCTCTCACAGATAGATATACAATATTAAAGCTTAGAAGATATATCAGTAAACCTCTCACAGGTAGATTGGCTTAAAGCTTAGGCTTAGTGTATGTTTTCTGAAGGATGAATGTAATACTCAGATGAAGATCACTTCAGGAACTCAGAGAAGATGAAATGTGTGAGTGATGAATGATATGAAAATATTTTGCTCGTTGTCTCTGTGCTCTCTTCCTTCAGTCAGCAGGAGCTCTTTTATTTATTTGAAGAGTGTCACGCCCCACTTTTATATCAATGGATACTATTACCAAATCCTTCATTATAACACAATTTCAGAGATCAAGCGCAGAAATTTAATACCTTAACGAGTACTATTATTAAAGGTTCTCTCATTCTAATATGAAATGAATGCAACGTGAGATAAAAATAAATAAATTGCCCGTACGCTTATATCTTTTAAATTAAAAGAAAGGGTTTAACCCTTTTATATCAATGGCATTTCGCCTATAAATAAAAGGCCTCGTGGCTAACACATAAAGAAGATCCTCAATCTTGAAACCTTTCTCAACATTCATCTGAAAAAGAATTAGTAACGTGGGATGAACATAAAGTCCAGTAGGGATTCCAATATGATCCTAAACAATAACAACATATAGATAGCTATGATCATGAATGCTTTAAATCATATCATATACATAATGTGACGGTTTATACAGAAATATACTTATATAGGAACTTTTCTCAAAATCATTCATTTCATTCAACAACATAAGCAATATACTTTTCTTTCTTCTTGTTACCTTTTTTCCCAAAATTCATATGACAATAACAAATTCATGAAAACAATTTCACAAAGCGCATTACGTTTTCTCCCACTTTCCGGACGTACACCTGATTTATCTTTTTGAAACAGGTTTATATATATTCGATGTCCTTCACATTATTCACAACCTTAATACAGTACTTATGTCTGTTTCCAACACACTCATATCTGTACATATATGCATTCAGTACAAAGGGAAAGCAACAAGCAACCAACAACTATCTACTTAACGAATGGGACAACTTGGCCTTCCAGAACCATAACCATCATAACCCATAACACATACAGATACACTGAGACAATAATGATAAATAAGTTTTGCTCTATCTTCCTTAAGCACGGTAAGCCAAGGATACACCTTTCCATAACAAAATGCTAAGTCAAGGATACACCTTTTCAAAACAAAACGCCAAGTCAAGGATATACCTTTCCATAACAAAATGCCAATTTACCAAACACTGGTTGGAAGGTAATGGTACCTCTGCCAAGTTCTCCAAGCACTAGCTGGA